TCCATTTCACCATTAAAATAAACAGTTTCATACAGAAAAATTCATTTTCAATACAATTGACACTAAGATGCACATGCATTTCTAATCTCTGTGTATCTGATTATTACTAGTCACGGTTACTTTCTGAGCTCCGTGGCATCTGAGCATGGGTATAAAGTGGTCAAGTAGATTCCAATGGTAATGTTTTTCACATCTACTAGTTATTAAGGAGCAAATTTTTATGCTTTGAAGAATTATTTTTTTATCATTTTTAAAAAATTTTTAATAACTACATGATTAGAAGAAGCATTTCACTACAGCTTTAACATACTCAGTAACACACTCCAGAGCAAGAGTACATCTCTTTCACAAGTGAGTGCAAGTTTCTGGGTTTACAGTTCAATTGATACAGTTATACAATATTGAAGTTAGTATAAGCCCTGTAAGACATAAAATTGAATGAGTTTTTAACCTTTAAAAAAGATCACCATTTCATTTTAGAATATATTGTTCCTTGCAGAAAGACTCATTGTTTTTGCTACTAACACTGAGATGTTGGCACATGCATCTCTAATCTGTATGCATCTGATTATTACTAGTCATAATCGGTTGCACTTGGATTCTTGGTGCCTGTGTATGTCTATTTGGGGTATAAATTTTAAGAAATGGAAATGATGGAAAAGATAGGGCATGGGGATAGGCCAAGATCTGACTAGTGTGAGTTCTCGAAAGGCAGCAGTCTGTGTTGAAGAGGTTCATTGTGTGCCAGATGAAGCTGAACAGGGAAGATAGTTCATCCTGGTGAGACTGTAGAATGCCAGAGGTTTTCTTAAATAATGTTTCATCTTGAGAGGATGAGGAAGCATGTCTATTAAAAAAAACTGTCATATTTTAGGAGCAGGAGATGCAGGATGATGTTGTAATGAACGTCATTAAAATCTCTCAGCTCAGTCTTGCCTTTCTGCACTTTCAAGTGTTCTTTACAAAGGAGAATCGATCTGCTTCTCTCTCAAGCTCCATGATTATGTATTTATTTACTGTCTCCACTCAGCTTATTAACTTTACTGAGGTCCACAAGGAGCACTCTACCACTTAACGCTCTATGTGGATTTTTCCTTCTTGAGTAGTGACGGTTTCTACTCAAGCATTCAGCAATAGATACAGTGGTAGAGGAGAGTCTTTATTAACAGTTCCAGTTCAGTTTTCCTGTCACCAGGCACCTTGGCCTTTCTTTACCCTATGATTTTTCCTGATGCATTTGAAGCTTCTAGTATGGTGACTATAGAGATTCTAATGTTGATCCTGGGTTTTGCCTCCTTTTAATTTTTCTTTAGTAATTTCAAAGGTGGTTTAATGAAGGAATTCAGACCTGACTCTTACTAGTCTAACTTTCTGAGAGTTTTCAAAGCCTGCTAGCTTCATAGAATACTGATTGAATATTGTGGATTTAAAAAAATATTGTGTGTATGATGTGTGGGGTACACCTGCTGTGGTGAGCACATGGAAGTAGGAGGGTGGTGTTTGGGAAGGCCCTTCTCTCCTTCAGCCTTTATGAGGGTTCTGGGGATCGAACTCAGGCTACCAGGCTTGTGTGGTAAATACCTTAACTTGCTGAGCCATCGCAGTGGCCCCTGAACAGTGTGTTTTATTGAGCTGGGAGTTTTATTATTTCTTCCTGATCAGATAAAGCTATTTTGATAGTTTATCAATCTTCATTAAGTTAGAACACAAATTTGTCAACACTATTAAATAGAAATTGGCTCTTTATGGAGTCTTTGAGGTAAAATATTTGTCATTGAGATTTATGATACTTAGAAATTCTGTTAAGATTGATGAGAAGCAATTCTGTGACTCATAACAAAATTTAAATTATCCCACTGTGTAAAATGATCATATGATGATATACAGTTGTGCTTAGATCTAGGCTGTATCTAATTTTCATGGATAACAGATAAAAGAAACTAAGCTTTCAGAATGTCTTACCTGATACTACACACTATTTTTATCTGTCCTTTCATATTAAATAGTAAGCCCCAGGGAAACAAGAACAGAGTTTTTTTTTAAATATTTTTATTGGTTCAAGAATTTCATGCAATTTATTTTTATCATATTCAGACCCCCTCCCCTCTCTCCTCTCCCGCCCCTCCCCACTTTGTGTCCTCCCCACTTCATATCCTCCCAACTTCGTGTCCTCTGTTATTTTTTTGGCTTTTTTTGTTTCTAAAGGACTATTGAGTATAATGTGTGTTTCCCAAATGCTGTTGGGCGTGGGTCTATCCCTTGGAGTTCGGTTGACCTACCAGGTGTCATACCAGTAAACTGACTCTCCTTCTCCCAACATCTATCAGTTGCCAACAGGTCATCAGCTAGGGCTGGGGCTTCCTACCCACTTCTCCCATCCATGCTGAGCCCTTGTCTGGCTTGGGTTTGCACAGGTCTTGTGCATACGGACATAAGTGCTGTGTGGGTTCATATGTGCAGCTACACATATGAACTTGTATTCAGACAGCTCAGTTTCCTTGTATTCCTCCAGCAACTCTGGTTCTTACAGTATTCCCTCCTTCTGCGACGGTCCTTGAGCCTCTGGGGAGAGGGTGCGGTATAGGTGTCCCATTTTGGGTTGAGCACTCCGGTGTCTCTTGATCTCTTATTCTCTGCACATTGACCAGCTGTGGGTCTCTGTGTTAATCACCATCTGCTGCAAGAAGAACGTTCTCTGGTGAGAGCTGAGGGCTGGTCTAATCTATGGTATAAAATAAGTCATGGTGAGTCAGTTTAATACTGTGTGTTTAGCAGCATCAAAGTAGCAGGTTCTCCCCTATGGCCTGTGACCTCTAATTTTTAATTTTTAAATCCTTGGCCTTTAGCACAACTTGATATGGAAGCTATTTTAATAATTACTGTTTCTGCAGTATCTTGAAAATTGCTTAATTTTTAGAGGTAGAAGAAGCTATAGGCATTCTGTATTTTACTGGTTTTGAGTCTATCGCTGAGTCCTAGAGTACTCGAGGAGGGCCCTCCCGGCCTTCACTGGTATGAGGCAGAAAAAAGTGAGCAGTTCTTACCATTTAAACCAGCTGGAGATTTGTTAGTTTACTTGTTTCATTATTAGTTCTGACCTTCTGGGTACCATGTCAGGATGGGAATACAGACTATGCCCTCAGACATGCAGGTCTCCAGCCTACTCTGGACAGTACTTCCTCTTGTTCAGTAACTCCATGTAGGCTATGTAACAAAGGTGCCCCTAAGCCTGCTCTTTATCATCAGAAGTTCTGTCTGAGGTTTGCGAATTGAAGAGGTCCACTTCCAAACACCACTTCTCCATTTCATGGGAGGCATGGTGGTATCTGAGAGTGTGTGAGGGCAGACCCTTTCCTTCCACAGTATATACACTGGAAGGAAAAGTGTGACTCTACACTTCAGTCTACTTACTTGTAAGATCATCACAACCTTTTTTCACAGGTAGTAAAACCCTGGTAATCTGCCTCGGATGTGGTAGGCACTTGCTGTGCTCTGACCTGCTGCTAAGGTGAGTTGCTAAGGTTCATGCCTTGAGGTTCTTGTCTCAGTGTTCTTTATTCTTTTTTAGGCAGTTCTGTATAATGACAGATCTGTTCTGGAAAACCATCATGCTGCATCAGCTTGGAACCTGTATCTTTCTCGCCCAGAATACAACTTTCTTCTGAACCTGGATCATGTACAATTCAAACGCTTCCGTTTTTTAGTTATAGAAGCAATCCTTGCCACAGATCTTAAAAAACATTTTGATTTTCTTGCTGAATTCAATGCCAAGGTTTGTTATATATATAAGTAGGGCCTGATTTTAAAATGTTGTTAGTGTTTGGTAAAAAGTGGCTTTATAACATTTACAATTTAAAGTTTATATATATTTATAATTTATTA